GCGAGAATCATGGCTTCTTGGTGGAATGCTAGTCCTCGTGTCTTGTATTCGCCTGAGGCTGACTAAAAGGGATGGGAGGGCCTTGGACCATAAATGGCGATGGTATGCTCCCATTGTTGCAATATAATTAGTAGCGTGAAAGTTGAAAGAGGCAAGGGAATAAACCCAGTGGGCTGCAACATCTAGTTTCCTCCCTTCTTTGTTATTTGGGGTTGTGGAAGAACGGCTGTGTGTTCTGCTCTAAGTTGCATCCACAGTGAATTGGGTGAGGGTATTTGTAGAGGAATGTGGTATCATTCCCATTGGTCCTGTAGAAGTTCTCCACCTTGCACGACATTTGCGGGATGGAGGATGTATTAGACCATGTTTCTTTGGTCAAGTCCAAAAGTGATGGTATGAAGGTCATACTCGGAGGAAGGGACTGTTGGTTATTGATGTCCTCATACACTTTGTCAGTCTGTGCCTGAGGATGTTGTTTAACATCCAGGTCAAGTGATTTGGCCACACGTAGGATGAGTTGCGAGTATGACGAGAAATCATCTGATGGGGACGGTGGATCATTACAATTATTGTCGGAATCAGACATTGGTAGGTTAGGAATGGACCCCTGGTCTGGTACAGAAAGTGAAGAGTGTGATGAGGTACAGCGTGAAGGAGGAGCAGGCAAAGATGGGCCATAGAAAGGAGGCAACAAAGCTGGGGCGGTATAGAGAGATTTAGAAAGGAATGACACTGGAACGGTAGGAGTTTGATGGGTTCGCAATGGCTGATGTTGACCTGGTACAGAGATTTGCTTGTGATGATCTCTGGTAGATTGTTTGGTACCGGGAGCTAGAGGTTGAGGATCAGAATAGGTCATGGTTGCCTGTACTGACTTTTGAGGTAACAGTACCGAAGTATGAGGCTTTTTTGGTACCATGGTACGGGAATTCGGGACGTCCATCTACTGTCTCTTTCTGAATGTTCGCGATGGTACCGGGGAGTCTGGCACCGAGTCGACCTCTGATGAGGACCAGGATCGGTAGGCATCATGGTACCGATGTTTGTATCAGAAATATGAAGATGAGGACGAGGTCCGTATCATAGTAATAGCAACGTCAATAGCGATGATCTCAGTAGTAGTTGAGTTTGGAAGGATGGTACAGATGTGTTTGAAATTGGGAACATTTGTAGATCGGGTCGTAATACTCTTTGGGTTGGTAGACTTTGACCCTCCTTGAGTGCCTATGCCTTCAGGATGATTCCCAGGATGGAATGGACCCAGTTGGTGTCGTGGGTCTATCCAAGTTGTAGGGAGTGACGGTGGTGCCAAAGATGGTTTGGTAGACAGAGGTGCCTTAGATTTGTGTTTCAGTCTAAGAGAGGCCTTGGAAGGGGTAGGAGAAGCAGCAGGCAAGGCTGAAGAGTGTGAAGAAGGCTCAGTAACTGGAGGGGCATCCATGGTTAGAGGCTGGAGTGATTTTTCCCAAAGAAAGGACCTCAGGCGTTGCTCTCTTTTAAAGCCTGTTTTGTAAAATTTTTGCAAAACTGGCAGGAGGAAGTCTGGTGGGTTCCTCCCAAGCAGAAGAGATAGTATTTGTGACCGTCTGAAAAAGATATTTTATTG